GTAAGTTGGTGATGTTGCTTAGTAAGTTGGTGATGTGAGTCAATATCAGATGCAGTTTGCATTTAACATACCATCGATTCTAATTAGTGTAAACTATAAATTCAAAAATATATAGTTTGACAGTTTCTCACATGAAAATAATTACTGTTAATTTTACTTCCTGAAAATCTGTATTACATCCTTTAAAGCTGACATATCAAAATGGTCTTCATTTAACAAATATTTATGATTATGTATTTCATAAAATGAAGCAAAGGTGTTGTATTTGTTATTTTCAGATTAACTGTAGAGGAACACATCTGGTTCTACGCCAAACTAAAAGGCACATCATCTTCTGATATTGACAAAGAAAAGAACGGGTGAGTGGTCACATGGGGTGTTCTCAGGAGCAGTGTGCCCTCTAATTCCAAAACAATCTGATCTGTTACAGAGCACACTGTCTGAGTGCATACTTCAGGAAATTCTCATGATATCTTATTATTATACAGCAACCACTCGCTATCCAACTACCTGTGACTTAGCCAAAGTCGCGACTTATTGAGGCACAACTTAGCTAGGGAGGGGTTACTGTACATCTTTTCTGCTTGTAATGTTAATTTAATGATTAAAGTTGAAAAAGTCAACCAAAAACATTTTGCGTTGCATGAAATTTTGCGTTCAGTGACAGGATTCTATTTTTCATGTGCACTGTAGTGCTTCTGCATGCAATCTAAACAGAGGGAAGTGTTCAAATATGATATCAGTAAGTGTTCAAATGTGATATCAATAAGTTTTCAAATGTGTTATCAATAAGTGTTCAAATGTGATATCAGTAAGTGTTCAAATGTGATATCAATAAGTTTTCAAATGTGGTATCAATAAGTGTTCAAATGTGGTATCAATAAGTGTTCAAATGTGATATCAATAAGTGTTCAAATGTAATATCAATAAGTGTTTAAATGTGATATCAATAAGTGTTCAAATGTGGTATCAATAAGTGTTCAAATGTGATGTCAACAAGTGTTCAAATGTGATGTCAACAAGTGTTCAAATGTGATATCAACAAGTGTTCGAATGTGATATCAACAAGTGTTCAAATGTGATATCAACAAGTGTTCAAATGTGATATCAACAAGTGTTCAAATGTGATATCAACAAGTGTTCAAATGTGATATCAGCAAGTGTTCAAATGTGATATCAACAAGTGTTCAAATGTGATATCAACAAGTGTTCAAATGTG